CGGGTGTCAAATCCTATCCTAATTCTGTGCCAGCACCTTGCTTGCCGTTTTGGGGGGACGTGATTAATTTTTGTGCAAGATAACTAAGGAAAAGGGCATGAATGTCACTTTCTCTTTTTTATCCTCAGTAGCCAATCAAAGTATTGATCCGTCCTGGGGTGAGTTAAGCTGTGCACTTACTTCTAGAAAGATGTCACCCTGGGCAAGTCTGTCCCTGAATTTTAGCGGCTTCTGCTCTGCAAGTGCCTCTCACGGGCGGGCGGCGTTCCGAACTCCCTGCGAAGCCAGGCATTTGCAGGAGGGATGTTGCTTAGACGGGGTGCGCATCAGCAAACCGCGCCTGGGCGGTGCAGCCATCCTTAAAGCAGGGTGACGGCATGACATGCTCGCGACTGGGAAAAGCCGCGTGTTCCCGGGAAAGCAGCGTGAACCTGCCGACTCTGCCGACTTGTTGAAGCAGGAACGTGGTTGGAGAATCTCGGTCCAGAGTGTGGAGCTCAACAGGTCTCGGTCTTTCACACGGAGCCATCAGGGACTTTGGGGAGGGGGCTGGAAAATATGTGCATTTTATTCTGCAAATAACTAAAAATGCCCAGGGGGTGATGAAGGTTTCACAGGTATCCGACCCTCTACCTGAAAGATGCCTCCTGAGTATGTATGTTCCTCTCCTGTGGCCACTGGAAAAAATTAGCAGAAGACAGCTCCGTTAACTACGTGGTGTTTTAACTGGTTTAAAGGGACATTTTTTACTTTCTTTTGTGGCTCTGGACCACCCAAACAGTTTTTATTGTTGCCACTTTAGGCAGGTTGACATAAAATCTCCGATAGGAGGCACCTGTGAAGTTGTCTCCCCAGGCGACCAGAAAGGCCGGGCTCAGGGGCCGGGCTCTGCCCTCAGCCGGCCGCCCGGGAGGGAGGGCGGCACTGTGGTTATTTAGCGCCAACCAAGCGCCGCACTGTACCCACGCGTCTTACACTGGTCTCCTGGGCCCCGAACAGCGCCCCGAGATGTGGTCCCCATTGGGCGGTGGGGAAACTGAGTTGCTGAGTGCAAATGATTCAACAGCAAAGCCCTGCTGAGATGTGTTCTTGTTTATTTGTCCCCTGCACCTGGTAAAGCACCTGAAGTTCACCCAGCAGGTAGCCACAACACGTTCTGGTGTAATAACGAATGAATGAATGAATGAATGAATGAATGAATGAATGAATGGAGACGGCGTGGTCGGGTGGGGTGAATGAGTTTCCTACCAGCTCTAACAAATTGCCACAACTTGGTGGCTTAAAACAAGACAAATGCATGATCTTCCACTTCTGGGGGTCAGAGCCCCCCTCTCTAGGACAAACCAAGATGACTGAGGCGGGAGAATTCGTTTCCAGCCTCCCTTGGCCTCTTCTCCACCTTCCCTGGCGCCCGGCTCTTCCTCTGTGTTCAGTGCTGAGGGTCCCATGGCGCCCGACCCTGCTTCCCTCATCCCTTCTCCCTCTGGTTCCCACGCCTCTTCCTCCCGCTCCCACCTGTGAAGACCCCTGTTGTTAATCTCTCGCTTGTGGGTCAGCCGTGGAACCTGGGTTCCGGGCGATAGGATGTGGGCGGGTTTGAGGGCCAGTGTTCTGCGCATGGCCAGAAGCTCTTCAAGATCTGTTCTCTCCATCTTGGTGGAGATGTGATTTCTTGCCAAGCCAGGGGGACGGCACTGGGGTCACTGGGTGTGGAAGCCGGTGCGCTCTGCCTTCAGGCGTCTCCTGTGCTGCTGCCTTGCTCTGTCCCCCGGGAAACACGCCCTGCGTGTGCACACGAGTCCAGTAAGTGCTGGTCGAGAAAACGAAAGAAGGAAGCGAACGTGTTGTTGTTTAACCCAGATGAACTGGGCCGTGTCTGAAGGACGTGAGCTCCCGTGGTCTCAGACGATAAACTATGGGCGGCAGACCGAACACTGGCTGTAAAATGCATGAAATACACCAATTGAGTGAAGGTCTGCAGTTTGCGGATGATGGGAGGCAGGTAGTCTCCGAGGTTCGGCTCAACGTTTGGACTCACGAGACTCCTGTGGGCCGCACTTGACCCCTCCCCCTCCCCCGAGCAAAAGGCTGGAGCGTAGGAACACAGCTGCCCCGAGGACAGGGCTGGCATCCTCCGTGGGGGTCCTTGCCCCAGACGCAGTCTCCACAGACGCCTGAATCTTCCGTCACAACTCATAGGCCGAGCATCCCAGGTCCCACAAAGGACACGCCCAGTGTCAGGAGTCACCTCACCCAGGGAAGTTGGAAGTGTGACTTGCCTGTTATGTATGGCTCATCGGCAGGTCCTCCCATCCAGCTGTCATAGACCAACATTTTACCACAAACCGTGCAACGTGTAACGTTTTGACGTATTTGTCCTCCTTATGAAGATTTCAGATAAAAGCTGGCCAAAGCTCCGCGTCTCAGGGAGTGGAGACAGTGTGACTAGCCTTCTGCCCTCGCACTGAAACAAAACAAGCCAAGAAACAGACCCAAGCTCGTTTGTCACCTGGAGGTTGCTATGACGCCAGCTTCTTCATTAGTGAAGAATCAAACATCCGTCCCGTCTCCCAGCTTCATGTCAGAGTTGCTGAATTGTTAAGGAAATTGTCTTTCTTTTAAAGAGAATCTCGGTTTTAAGGGCATGGAGGCAGTAGAACTAGAAGATGTGCCTTTTCCAGCTCCGGATGGAGTCGTGGGTCCAGGGAACCCTTACAGATGGATGCTGAACCGCCCGGCGGGACTCGGGTAGGAAGCTGTGACTTGGGGTCGCGCTGACTCACTGGAACTTGTCCGCCCATCCTAGCACCTGCCCACAGTCTGACCCCGTGGGATGGGACGTCCGTTCGGGGGGGTTCGGAAAACAGACTGGACCCGACTCATCAAGACCTTAGGCCTAACCAGCCGCTTACGGGAAATGCGGGGACGAGAGAGGCAGTGACATCTGTGGAGGCCGTGGGCCCCGTCCGGGACGTGGACGTTGTGAGGGATGAATGACCCGGTCTCCCCGACAAGTCGATGGCACGGAGGGAGAAATGGGGGGGCAGAGTGCCAGGCAGTAAACCGGCCCGAGCGGACGTGCTGGGGTTTCGTTCGCTCCTCGATGTAAATCGTCAGCTGTAAACGTCATTTTGGGACGTTTGAGGTAGTTTGGCTAATGACTGATTCTTTGTTGGGGTTGTTAATTTTATTTTATTATTTTATTATTTTATTTATTTTACCGATGTGTGTGTGTGAGAGAGAGAGACATCAACTTGGTGTCCCGTGCATTCACACATTCATTGGTTGCTTCTTGCCTGCGCCCTGACCGGGGATCGAGCTGCAGTCTTGGGGTACTGGGACGGTGCTCCAACCAACTGAGCTGCCTGGCGAGGGCTTATGAAAGTTAATATTTTAAACGTGAAGCTGTGATACATGAATGGTATGCAGGTCAGGTAAGAAACTTACAAACACGTGTATGCATGTACAGGTAAACATAGGTACTTGCGCGTGCCCTTGATATGTAGGACTTCTTGACAGTTACAGCCGCACACTGAGGAACCTGCAGGTGAAATGTAAGCTCTGGGTTTCGCTTGGAAACGTCCAGCCAACGTGGGAGGGAGAGGCTGGCGCCAGCCCGGAAAGGAGGGGCAGGTTTGGGAGTCCTGCTCTGACTGCGTCCAGAGACATACTGTTCTTTCTGCTTTCACGTGCTTGTGAATTCCCATCATGAAGTTTTTTCAGACCTTTATATCTTTAGACTCCAATGCCATTTTCTCCTGTCAGACTCTCAAAGATTGGTCAACACCGCTGGGGCACTGTTCTGGAAGGCGCTTTGGCAGGCTGTGCTAGGGGACTGCAGAATGTTGTCGCCACCGGCCCGCGGGCCCGGGTGGGGATCGCTCTCGGGGAAATGGCCGTGGACCGCCAGCAGCCTCGCCAAGGCGGCACTCGGCGCTGTTCTCCAGTCTGCGCTCTGGGAGCGCCCCACGCGCGCCGCCTCTGAAAACTGAGTGGTTGAGTCACGGGGCATTGCCTGGCGAAATGCTTTCAACCACTGGCAGATGCCTGTCACAATGATAAACGGAAAGAGAAAGGACAGCACCGTGGTCGCCCCTGTGGGACAGGTGCGTAGAGAGGACGGAACCGGAAGTGAGCACAGCGCCGTGTCCCACTGGTTCTGGTTCAGAGGCGGACCTACAGGGGACGAAGCCTCGTTCTCTGGGTCCTCGGGTGCCAGACTGTCTGTCATGAACATCCCCGTACGTCCTTCTGTAGTGTTACAGAGATGTAACGAACATCCCGTCGAGTCACCCGCGCTGAGAGCCAGCCCCACGTGTCACTGGGAGCACTGCACCCCCGCACCCGGCCGCCCTGGCTGGAGTTAGGCCCTGGGGCCCTGTGAGCACCCCGACTGCTTCTGCGGTGGGCTTGGTACTTAGAGCAGGTTAGACCCACAGAGAATTGTGGAGATAGCACGGAGGGGGCCCACCCGCCCCGTACCCCGCTCCCTGTTAGTAATATCTCACGTCACTGCGGTGCATGGGTTCCCACTAGTGAACCAGGACTCTTTCATTATTAGCGGAAACCCAAACTTCATTTAGATGTACCCCATTCCTTTGTCTCTTCCCGGATTCCGTCTGGGGTGGCACATTACCTTTATTGGTCATTAAAAATGAAGTTCAATTTTTAACTGGAAAAATGAAAATAAACTTGATTCAAAAACCCTGCTAATACCGTAACTATTGCTTTTTTGCGTGGTCTCCTGCTGCTGCCAAGCACCGTACTGACGTTAGCATGTTCCTCTCGCTCCCGGCAGGGCATCTGCCCCTTTGCTGGAGACGAATCTGCTGTTCCCACACAGGCCTGCGGTCACCAGAGGGGGCGGGACGGAGAGGAGGGGGAGGAGGAGGAGGAGGGAAAGGGGGAGAGGAGGCCTCGCCTGTAAACAGTCGGAAGCCCCAGAGCTCTTTGCTTTCTCTTGCTGCTTCACGTCACGGAATTCTCTCTGTGTGTCCCAGCCTGGAGATTGCAACCCTGAACCGCGCGGACTCCGACCTGGAGGCCTGTCGAACCCAGATCAGCCAAGATGTCATCGCCCTTCTACTGCGCGGGCTGACCAGCAGGGGCCACCTCTCCCCTCCAGCAGAGAGGAGGATGGGCGCTCTTTTCAAGAAGCAGTTTCTCCTGCTGGAGAAGGAAATACGAGAGGAGTATGATCGGAAGATGGTGGCGCTGACGGCTGAATGCGACCTGGAAACGAGGAAGAAGACAGAGACCCAGCACCAGAGGGAGATGGCGGCCGTGGAGGAGGCAGAAGAGCTGCTGAAGCGTGTGAGCGAGAGGGTGAGGCAGCTCCCTCCTTCCTCTCAGGGATCCTTCATTTATCCATGCCCCCAGGCTTCCAGGTCTCCATCCGTCCAGCCAGCCAGGCATCCACCTGTCCATCCACCCATCCATCTACCCATCCATCTACCCATCCATCCATCCATCCATCCATCCACCTACCTATCCATTCACCATCCATCCATCCACTCATTTGTCCACCCACCTGTCCATCTATGCATCCACTTGCGACATCCACCCACAACCCAGCCATCCATCTGTAGTTCATTTAGAAAGCACCTATTAATCACTCACTGTCTCTCGGGCACTGGGCTGGGTGGTGCAGACATAGAGAAAAACAAGACATGGGGTTTGTGTTCAAGGAGCCCACAGTTAGGAAGGACCCTCACATATTAAAACACGTGCTGTCATTAAACTACGTTCTTATGGCACTATGTTCCTGGTGCCCCGGGAGGCCCTGGGGAGAGGAGAAATTCTCCATTTGTGATGTCTGTGTGCATGTGTGTCCGTCTGGGCTGTGGTCACTGCAGTGTGCTCTGTCCCGCACAGGCCATGGAGTCAGACAGACCTGGACTCCCGGTCTAGTGCCTTCTGGCTCTGCTCCTGTGGAGCGAGGCTGGGGCGCCCACGCAGGGCGGCTGGGGGATGTGGTGCGGGGAGGGCGCCGGCCCGCGAGGCTGTGCGTGTCCAGTGCTGCTTCCGCAGCTGCCCCGGACCCGGCCTCTGCTGATCGGTGTTCAGCTCTCCTTTTCGAAGAGGTGTGTTGGCTGCTGTCTTGAAAGGAACCGCGCGAGAGTGTTTTCCAGAGAGGACCAAACGTAGCCTGTTCCTGTCGTCCTCCGTGGAAGAGGTGGCTTGCCCAGTCTGCGTGTCCCAAGCCCACACGTCCTGTTCCGAAAACCTGTTGTCCTGGCGAGGCCTGGCGCCCACTACGTCTCCGGCTTCTGCTCCCCATCCTGTCGCTGCCCCCAGACTTGCCCTGGAAGGGGCTGCACACTCTCCCGTACACGCTGCACACTCTCCAGTGCACAGCAGGGGCACACCTGTGGTGAGGCTGAGAAAGAGATTCTTGCCCTCTCGCCCCTCCTGTCCCCTCCCCTCTCCTGCCCCCTCCCACTCCCTGACCCCAGGCCCTTCTCCCCTTCCCGCCCCTGGCAGTGTAGGGTGTGGCTTATTCTCTGTTTGGCTTCTGGATGAGTTTCCCGTGGCTGCGGTAACAAGTCTCACAGGCTCGGTGGCTCAAAACCACAGAAATGTGTCCGCTCACCGCTCAGGGGGCCAGATGCCCGGAGTCCAGGTGTCACCCTGGCGTGCTGCTCCGAAGGCTCCAGGGGAGGGTCCGAGGGTCCTTCCTGTCCCTTCCAGCTCCCGGTGGCTCCAGGGGTCCTTGGCTTGTGGCTGCACCAGTCCAGTCTTCACCTCCACTGTCACGGTGCCATCTTCTCTCCTAAGAGGGCCCTGTCCTTTCCTCTTCTGTCTCACAAGGACACTTGTCACTGGATTTAGGGCCCACCCAAATAATCTAGGATGACCTTGTATGATCCTGTAAGGACTCTTATTCCAAACAAGGTCATGTTCATGGGTCCTGGGGTTAGAACGTGGATGTGTCTTTGCAGGGAGGGGTCACCATTCGGCCCACGCCAGTATCACTGGCGGACCCCGCCCTCTAGTCGCCCTTGGGACAGTGACTGGTCAGACGTGTCAGACTGGTCAGAGTCACGCGTGGAAGAAGGTGTGACGAACGCACTGAATAGCGATTCAGCCCCTGAACGACCTCATAACCTCTTTCCCGTCTTTCCTAAATTCGTTACAATTTTCTCCCTGTAAAAATAATAAGTGTTCAATGCAGGAGACTTGGAAAGCAGAGGGGGGCCAACGAGACCCGGGGGCCTAATCCTGCCCGGCCTGTTTTTGTCTGGCCCATGGCGGGGTTGAGAATGGTTTTTACATTTTTTAAATGTTATAAAAAACAAGAACAAAGCAAAACAAAGAAGTAGGAGAATGAGTGGCGGAGACCTCTGTGGCCTGCGAGCCTGGACTGTTGTCGGTGTGGCCTGTGCAGAGCAGTTTCTGCTCCAGCTCCGAGGCGTGGAGAGGGGAGCCCTGGGGGGAGATGGGAGGAAGGCCTCCCACCTCTCAACAGCGGACGGTCAGTCACGGGCCTGTTCCTGGGGTCCCTGGCCCTGGGGACGCAGTGATGCCGAGGTGGCCTCTCCTGTCTCCCAGATTCTGGCATACGCTCCAGCCTTTTGCATCACACTTTTTTGGTTGTTTTACGAAGTAAGGTTTCTATGGTTCGCTTCATTTTTTATCCTGCTTGTGCTCACTTACACAGCAGCGCGAACATTTTGGCTCCGGTGAGCGCTGTCCCACATACTTGGCATGTCAGGCACTGTGGTAAGCTCGGCGTGTGGCCTTCCCATTAGATCTCCAGTCTGCTCGGTGAGGGGGGAAGAGAGGCTCTCCCTTTCACACTGCGCGGGAAGGTCACCTGCCCGGGGACACATAGGTGGGCCCAGGAGTGACACCAGTGCCCCGTATTGCACTTGCCGCCACCTGGTGGCAGCCGCCTGTGCACCGTCGTGTCTGGCGCCGCCGTGGGGGCCGTGTTAACCCATCCCAGTGGGCCGGTATCTTCCCGGTGCTTTGCCTGGGGCAGTGCAGTTCTGTCTCCTCGTTATTCACATCAGTGTTCAGACCTGGAGCAGGGATGGCACCTCAGGAGGCCGCCGTCACTTGGGATCCCTGAGGTCACCCTGTCAGACACAAGCCCCTTTACTGGGGCCAGTCTGCTTCCAGAACTAGTGTCCGAGTGGCCGGAGCGAGCAGAGCGACTTCCCTTCCAGCCCGTGCCAGCCGCCCCACCTTAACCAAGCCACGGGCTTCTTCTTACTTACCTCTGCGTGTATTGCAGTCATCCCTAAATACAACGCGTGGGACTGTTCGGGACGTATGATTCCACCAAGAGTTAGTTTCTAACAAGCAAGGTGAGCAGTATCCGCTTCTCTGGGTAAAGTTTCAGAATTCAAGTAATTGGTGTGGGGATGAAACCTGCTCACGCTGACACATGTCCGTGCTTTCTCCGAGTTTTTGGAGCGCTTCTCTGTGGAGAGACCCTGGGGCAGTAGGGACGGCTGTCACCCGTGACGGCAGATGCCCACTCTGTGCTCCTGGAAGGTGCGCGGCTCATCTCCGTGGCCTCGGTTTCCCCATCACTAACCAGGGAATAGCAGGGCTGCCCACCTCGTAGGGCCGCTGATACCCGTCAGGCACGTAGATGGCGCCTGGCAGTGCCGTCCCTGTGCCGGAGACCCCTGTGACTCCCCGTGTGTGTCACCTTCAAAGCATCTCATGACACAGAGCCATCAGAGAGCGGGGACTCCTTCTGCTTTGAGGTGGGAAACCAAGGCCCAGAGGGGAAGCCGCTTGCCCAGCTTCCTGCCAGCAGCCACTGGCAGGTCAGGCTGTGTCCTCTGTCTGGGGACCCTGTTCTAGACACTGTTGCCTCGAAGCTCCTTGAAGTGCAGGTGACGAGGGGCACGGCCGGCCCTGAGCTGCCTGCTGTATCCCAGCCCCCTCGGGAGTGTCTCACAGACGCCGCAGGTGCAAGGACTCCTGCCTCCGACCCTCTCTGGCGGGTCTCATTGTCTCCGGGGGCGCGCAGTCTGCCCATCTTGCCCAGTCGAGTGCAGGTCATAATTCCCTAGGACGGTTTCGCGTTTGGGTGGTGTGGGGTCAGCATGGGGACCGCAGATGCTCGGGCACAGCCAGACGTGAAGTGCCCTCCCTGGTTGGTGCCCGCCCCCTCCCCACTCCCCCCACGGGACCAGCTGCTTTTCTAGACACTCAAAGCCACAGAATCAACATGTCTCACCTCCCTGAAATGTCTGTTCCAGCGGAAAGTTCCAAAGGACTTGGGGGTGAATGACCATTATGTTAAAATGCACATTTTTGCCAATATTTAAAACATAAAATTTCATATAAAAACCCAGACTTCCAGCTTCTGTTAAAAAGTGGGAAGATGTGGCTGCACCAGGCCCATGTCCCTGCAGGGCCCTCTGTGGGCCGAGTCCCGGCTGCGCCTGCAGGCAGGGCTTGCTCTCTCGCTTGGCCCCAGACCCCACTACTCCCTAGTGCCTCTCTCACCAGGCCACTTCACTCATTTGTGTATGTGGCCTTCCCTGCTTGGCAGACCTAAGTGGTGTCCCTGCTCTGGGGTTTGGTTGTCTCCTCTGTGACACAGGCCAATTGAATAGTTTGGGGGTTGGACACATTTCTGTAGGTCTCTGCACCCCCTTAGGAGGGCGGTGCATGTAGAGACTGGGGGGGCGGTTCCTATCCAGACTTATTTGAAGGAATGTTTCACTCTGACATGAGCATAGCAGGGTCTCAGGCTTTACTCTTCAGCTGAAGTATAATTCTAATAATGAGAACAGATACATAATTTTATTTTAGGATTTGCGAGTACACCCTTTTGAGTACACCCTTTTTTTGTTTGGTCCTGGCTCTGAGAAGCTAAATCAATGACACCCCCTATTTTATTCCTGTGAATTAAGATAAGTGGAGGTTGGGGTTTGTTGAATTTTACACAGTCAAAAATGTCACTTTGGTGGGGAGTTGATCTCACTGGGGACCAGGCACGCCCTGGGTAGCTGAGCACCCCAGCCGTGCCTGGAGTCCGGGTGGGGGACTGCATCCCCTAGTGTAGACGGGCTGCGCCGTGAATGCTGCTTCTCTCCAGGGGAGTGACTCGGAGAGGCCTGATCTGATCTTTTTTATAGCATCGTCTTTGCAGAAAGATGGTGCCGCCTTCTGGAGGCCAAGGCCGACATGGCTGTGGGAGGGCCCTGGGGATGTGGCTGGGGACACGCACAGAGGTCCTTCTGTGTCTGGCGCAGTGGCTGCTGCTCGTCATGGCTCTGGGAGCACCTGGGGACAGAGCTTGTCATATACTGGCTACTTTCTGGGACAGCTTCTGAACAAATTGAAAAGTCAGTGAAAAGAGACAGAAAGAGGCAAATGAGTATTTCGCCTCGGTAGGCTTGTGAGTGGCTGGAAGCAGAGGCAGCAGGCCTGTGCCTCGGGGAGCTGGGGAGACGGCGGTGACGCTGGTCCCTGGCAACAGGGAGTGCGGGTGGTCGGAGCCCTCCGATCCTGTTTAGCTGAGGGAGCCCAGCCCTTGTCCTGTGCCTCATTGCCTGTCTGCCTTCCTGGGTCTCTGCTCAGTATAGTCCAGGTCGTCATCTCACATCCTCCCACCTCCTGAGACCATGTGCGTCTTGACCTTGACCTTTGACCCCTGGGATGGCGGCACCCTCCACCTGTGGAACAGGTGCACTGTCCCTCCCTTGGCCCCACCAACATGGTGCACTATACAGTGCCCGTGTGGTTTCAGAGCCCGGTGCCTGAAGATTCGGTCTGAACTTCTCCTTCCCATCTGAGCGGGGAGACAAATGGGGAAAGACCCTCAGCGTCTCCAAGTGTGTGCCTGCTCACCTGTAGAGCGAGTGTGTTTGTGTTCGTTCAGCTCTGCACCACCGCACCACACACTCAGCGACTTAAAACAACACCCATGGACCATCCAAGCATCCCCGGTCGGGGTCTGGGCTCCGCCTGGCTGAGCGCTCTGTGAGGGTCTCACCACCTTGCGATCAGGTCCCGGCCGGGCTGCCTTCTCCCTGGAACTTGGTTCCCGGACCCACCCATTCCTTTCCTCGCACCGGACCACATAACGTGCAGGTATCGCGCGGCTATGTCTTCACACCCCTTTGCCGCCACTTTCATCCAGACGGCCTCCACATGGGCCTGATTGTTGGTGCTTTTCTCCTCAACTAAGTCACCAGTGAAAGATGGCGGCAGTGAGCGTGAGCAGCTACCAGCACCGTCCTTGCCATCTCCCCATCTCCAGGCTGTTTTCAGGCAGTTGGAGCTGCAGATTTCACCCCGTGAAGTTCTCACTTAGAGGTTGTTCTGGAACACGTTAGAGTCACAGGGAGGACAGGCTGCAACAGCATCTCCCGGAGCCTAGGAGCCTTGTCATTGTCAGCTTGGGGCATTGTGTGCGTGTGCACTGTGCACACGTGTGTCCCATGGAAGCGTGCACGCTTGTGTGCTTATCTGTGCATGTGCCTGTGTTTGCACACCCACTATGTGTTGTGTGTGAGTATGCACTGTGCATGCATGGGTACGTGCTGTGTGTATATGTGTATGTGTACATGTGCGTGGCTGGTTGCTGCATATGTGCACGTGTGGTGTGCCTGCATGTGATATGCACAGGTGTGCATGTGCATGTGGTCTGCTGCATTCATGCCTGTGTGCTGTGCGTGGTATGCACGTGTATACGTGGTAGGTTGCTGCGTGCATGCGTGCTGTGCGTGTGTGTGCATGCCTGTATGCATGTGTGTCTATCTGTGCCTGGCCGGCGTGTCAGCCTCCCCCGTCTGCCCGCTCTCTCCACAGTCCGCCACCGAGTGCAGCAGCCTGCTGCGGACCCTGCACAGCCTGGAGCAGGAGCACCTGAGGAGGTCTCTCGCTCTGCAGCAGGAGGAAGACTTCGCCAAGGCCTGCCGGCAGCTGGCCATTTTCCAGAGAAACGAGCTGCACAGTATCTTTTTTGCCCAGATAAAAAGTGCTATTTTCAAAGGGGACCTGAAGCCCGAGGCAGCTAAAACGCTGCTGCAAGACTACTCTAAAATCCAGGTAACGCCACCGGCCACACCACGCTGAGGGGAGAGTCTCTTCTCGAACCACCTGAGGACCCTCCTGCCCCCTGCTGCCCCAGTGCTGAGTCCCACTCCCCTCCCGCTCTCCTCCTGCACCCCGAACACCTCTTATCCTCCTCCCCCATTGTCTGTGTGAGTTTCCAGAAAGCAGAGGGAATGGGGGCATGAAGCCCAGGCCTAGAACCGGGACTGACTTGAACTTGAATTCCAGTCCCACCCCTCCCCCGCTGTGTCCATTTAATCAAGTTACTCAGCTTGTCTGAGCCTCCGTTTCTTTACCTGTAAGATGGGGTAACAGGGCGCCCACACTCCCAGGGGAGTGACGAGGTTTAGTGAGCCAATCCATGAAAGCCGGTGCTCGGTACGTGTGTTTAAAAGAATATGAATATGCGTGTGCATAAGAATGCACGTGTGTGTGTAGGGTTTACAGTCTGTGCCCAGACATGTCTGCACGAATCTGTGCCTGTTTTTGCGTTACGAGCTGGAGTGTGAATGCTGATGCCGCAGACTGAACGACCTCCTAGATGGCGGTGACAGTAGTTGATGGGAGACTGTTGCCATTGGTGTGGAGTCTCTCCCAGCGCGGCCTGAGGTACTTTGTGAGCACGTGTACACACGTATGCACATACACGGTGACATCGCTTGCGTGCGGATTTCTGGTTCTGGCGCAGGTCCAGGGTGTGAGGGCTGCCACTGAGCCGGCCAGAACCAGAGCCAGGAGGTGGCCATGTGACCACCATGAGCTTTGGGCAGACAGGGCCACTCCCAGCTCACATGGATCCGGCTCCACCAGGAGGACTCGGGGAGGCGCCGGTATCGGGCCGCATCTGCTGCCCGTGCAGCTCCCACCGTCTGGACGTGCGGGTTCTCAGCTGTCAGAACCGGCGGCGTGGCAGGTTTTGTGTCCACGGTGCCCAGTGGGTCTGGAACAAAGTGTCAATCTTTTTGGTAGTGCATTGCATGGACGGCATTTCCATAGATGGAAAAGCCAGCAGAGCTGATCAGTGGGGCAGTACCGCTGAGTTCAATTCCTGCTGATGTAGTTACTGCACCACTGGCTGAAGCTGTGTTCGGAGTGGTCAGCCTCCTGGGAAGTTAGAGCACAGGCCCTGGAATTAGATTGCTGAGTTCAAATCCTGCTCAGCCAGTTAGCAGCTCTGCAGCAGGACTCAGTTTCCTCATCTGTGCAATGGGAATAACAGTCCTGTCCCCCTCGATGAAGTCAGATAAGGTGAGGAAGGCCTCGGGCCCAGTGCCAGGCCCAGTATAAGCTGGGTTATTGCGCTCGCTGTGTTGGCTGGGTTTTGCTCACTCTGGAGACGGAGGGAGAGTTCTTGCTGCTCTAATCGACTGTGCTCATCTTGTCCCCTGCCCCCGTCTACAAGGTGGGCGTTTGAGGGGTCAGGGCTGGTGGCCCACAGGTCCCAGAACTGCCATGCTGGAACTGCCGGTGCTGCGTCCCCGGAACTGTGCAGGTGCGCACGTGTGCGGGGGCGAAGGCACGTGGCCGACAGACAGAGGTTTATGTTCCGTGTCTAGTGATGCTCTGGTGACTCCTACACCGGCCCAGGCGCTTTCCAAAGCCCTCATTCCTCATTCGTGTCCCATTGTCCAGGGCGGGGGGGTTTAAATGTTCCTCCCGGTGCTCCTGGCCCTGGGAATATTTTGAGACAGGAAATGTAATGTTTTTAATGTCTGTAGGGAATCTTCTCTAAATTTTAATTAAGCATATTTTCTTGATTTTTAAATTTTTTTAACAGGAGCATATAGAAGAGCTAATGGACTTCTTCCAGGCTAGCAAGAGGTATCACCTGAGTAAAAGATTCGGCCACAGGGAGTACCTGGTGCAGACCGTCCAGGCCTCAGAGGCCCGCGTGCGGGGACTTCTGAGCACGGCCGCCGCCCAGCTGACCCTCCTCGTCCAGAAGCACGAGAGGTGAACCACCCTGCCCCACACCCCTCGTCCAAACCGCCTGCTCCTATTCATTCATCGGATGCTCTGGCTGCCCCCTACTTAGGTCTTAAAAATTTTGCCCTGGCCAGGGTGGCTCAGTTGGTTGGGGTGTCTCCTGTGCACCCAAGGGTTGTGTGTTCCGTCCCAGTCAGGGCACACGCCTGGGTGGCGGGTTCGATCCCCAGTTGGAGTGCGCACAGGAGGCAACTGATTGATGTTTCTCTTTCACATCAAGTTTCTCTCTCTCCCTTCCTCTTTCTCTAAAATCAATAAACGTATCTTTGGGTGAGGATTTGAAAAAAAGAAAAAACGTTCTCTGGTTGTAAGACTGCATTGCGTGTAGAATTGAAAACTCTTGACAGTCGAGACCACCCTGCCCCACTCGCCCAACATTCACCTCCGGGAGGCGCCAGCCCACTGCCAGTCCCAGTGTGGCCCTGGGTGTCCGCCCCAGGTTGATTTAAAGCAGATCCCCGACATTTCACTAAGAAATCGGTGGTGGAGGCTCCCGGGCACCATGTGGGGCGCCCTGGTCTCTGGGCCCTCACGCACCACTGGCCCCCCTGCATTTGCCTTTGGAACGAAGCACAAAACTCTGGCTGGTCTTTCTCAGCAGCTCCGGGGGGGGGGGCGGGTACCAGCGACACCCACCATGTGGTCCGGGAAGCCATGGGTGCGGCCTCTCTCCACTGCAGCCCTCCCCCCGCTCCAGGCTCCTCCCCAGCTGGTCTGAGGCCTTCATCCTCAACAGCGAAAGGTATTCTCTGGATCACGGGAGGCCCTGAAATGACCAGGGACGTGACTCTGAAGCTGGTCTCTTACAAGGAGCGTGGTTTTATGAATTGGTTATTAGGACTTTGAACTGCTGTTGCTCTAATTTAATGAGAACTCTGTAAGTGCAAATTATGTGAGCACCGTTTACCCAGAGATGCTAATGAATCTGTCACTGCAGCTGACACTCCTGATTCATTTTCACTCCAGTGAGTGGAGAGACAGCGCCTCACCTCGAACCTAAGCGCCGGCTGCAGCTGCGGCTGCGTCGCGTCCGCGATGCTCTGAGGGAAGTGTGTCCTGGCTCAGATTTTTACATGCTATCATGAAAGTCTGCACAGGCTTGGTTCTAAAACGTGCATCTCCCATTCATTCATTCATTCACCTATTTGTTCCAACGAGAGGTTTCCCTGGAGAATCTACCCCATACTGAGCAGGCGGCCCAGCCTGGGGATGCAGACTTAACTGGGAGTAGGGTGATAATAATAAGAGTAACAGAGTGCAACGGTAGGATTCTCCAGAAAACAGGAAAAATGACGTATACATGAGGCATTGGCTCAGCATGAGGCTGAGAAGCCCCATGCTTTCTGTCCTGTCTGCCGACTGGAGCCCAGGAGAACTGGCTGGCTGTGTGGTCTGTGTGAGTCCAGAGTCCTGGGAACCAGGGAGTGCCAGCCTGAGGGCAGGAGAAGGGAGATGAGAAGTCCCAGCTGGAGCCAGGAGGCAGGGCCAGTTCCTCGTTCCTCCGCCCCCAGCCAGGCCCCGCCCCTGCCAGGCCAGGGTCGGAGGAGGCCTGCCCACTCTGGGGGTTGTGGGGCACTCCGCTTTACTAAGTTTGCTGATTCAAATACTAATCTCTTTGGGAAACATCCTCACAGACCCACCCAGAAACCAAGTTTAAACTGGCTGCGCCACTGTGGCCAGTCACATCGACACAGAATTAACCCTCACAGAGTGTTCCCTCCGTCCACCTCTTGGACTTTGCTAGTGCCCAGGAGTTCCTAGCCCACCCTCTGCTCTGGGAAGACTCTGCCTGCGCCACCAGGGCAGCCTCCCTCGCCTGCTGCTCCCTCCTGGAAGTCTTGCCCATTTCCACGCTCCCTGGTGTGACCTCTGTCCGCTTGTCCACAGCGATGCCAGCCTTGCCCCTCCCCTCTGGGTCTCAGCCGCATCTGGTGGGGGGGGGGCGGGGAGCACACATTCACCCCACCCTCCTCCCTAGAGCTGGGTACTTGGACGAAGACCAGACGGAAGGGCTGTTGGAGCGGGCGCAGACCGAGGTCTTCTCTATAAAGCAGAAGTTGGACAGTGACTTAAAGCAGGAAAAGAAAAAGCTCCGCCAAAGATTAATAATTAAGAGAAGACGAGAGATGCTGCAAAAGGTATGTGAGGGGTTTTGCCCTTTATTCTTCCCACAACCGTCTGAGCACCTGCCAGGGCCAGGGGGCCGCTGGGATCCACGTGGTGACCAGTCGTCTGGGCTTCATTGGCAGTGATGTTTTGGGACACGTGTTAGGAAGGCTTCTCCAAGTCCCACCTGGCCTCAGCACCGCAGAGGGTCTTGGCAGGTGGTGACGTCTGCCTGGGTGAGGGCACAGGATCGAACGATGACAATGCTGTAGTGTCAATTATTGAGCGTTCTGGTGTGTTCAGGCTGCTGTAACTAAATGCCACAGACCAAGTGGCTGACAAACCACACAAATTTACATCTCACGGTTCCGGAGGCTGGAGGCCCGCGATTGGGGTGCCAGCATGATGGGGGTCCGATGAAGGTCCTCTTCGCGGCCGCGGTGGCTGACGTGGCTACTGAGGGCCTGGGTCATCGGAATGATGACGGCAGACGTTCCTGCGTCTGACCCCTGCGCCGGGCCCTTCTCTAAGAGCTGCGGGTGCTCAGCGGCTCAGGGGATCGCCACGGCCACTCTCCGAGCTGCACGCTTTCCTGCCCGCTGCAGAGGTCAGGAAGTGGGGTCACAGCGAGGACGAGAGGCTCGCTTCCACCGACTCGCGTGTCAGTGGAGAAGCCAGGATGGGAACCCGGGGTTGGGAGGCGAGGGTGGGGGAGGGCAGGTCTGCTTCCTGGGCTTCCCCTCGTTGCTGAATGAGTACTCGATAAATGTCGAACGAATGAAGTTTTCACGATGTCTTGGGTTATTTTCTTAAGGATAATCTTCTAAAGTTGAGCATATAGGGGAAAAAGGCTTAACCACATTCTCAAAGTGTTTCCCAAATGGCTTTGTGCACTGAGCTTGTCCCCTGTCACCTTCTTTCTGGAATTCACGGCAGCACAAGGAGCAGCGGAGGGAGCAGCTGTCCGTCGGGGACGCCTTCCGAGCCACCGAGGACGTGGGCCAGTACCTGGGCCAGTGGCGGAGCCTGGTGTCAGGCCACAGCGCCGCCCTGGAGGAGCTGCAGGAGCGCCTGGACCAGGCCGCCCTGGACGACATCAGGGCCCTGACCCTGTCGCTGTTCGAGAAAGCCACCGAGGAGCTGCGGCGCCTGCAGAACTCCGTGGTGACCCAGGAGCTGCTCAAGCGCGGCGTGCCCTGGCTCTTCCTGCAGCAGGCCCTGGAGGAGCAGGGCAGGGAGCTGGCCGCCCGGGCCGAGCAGCTGGAGGGCGAGCAGAGGGACAGGGACCAGGAGGGCGTCCAGGGCGTGAGGCAGAGACTGAAGGACGACGCTCCGGAGGCCTCCACGGAGGAGCAGGCGGAGCTGAGGCGCTGGGGGCACTTGGTCTTCACGTGAGTGACCCTGCGTGCTTCCCTGCCCCCCTCCAGCCGCAGGGGAGGGAGGGATTCCGCCCTGAGGTGCATGGACATGCACCACCTGACACAGGACACATGAGACAGCGGTTTATCAGGCAGGTGCACTCACAGCCTCGGGGAAAAGGACGCCGAGTGACACCCAGGGCCACTTGGGGGTGGCAGTGAACAAGCGGGGGCTGCAGGAGGCAGGCATTGTAGCAGCAAGAGGGTGAGGTCCCCCTGGCAAATCCCCCCCGACTCCGCTCGAACTGGTTCCCACGGAGGGTTGTGGTTGCCTCATTCGATAGCTTCCTGGGCAAATGGGGGATCAAACCCACGGCCGGTGAAGAAGCAGGAGCTCCGCCTGGTCCGCTGGGTGGGAAGTGACGTTTGACAAGGGGAGGGAGCCTCTTCTCTCAAAACTCCTGGAAGTTGTTTCCCCTTTCAATGGACAAACCAGGAAAACCCTGTTTAAGCAAAGGAACAAAACAAAACTTCTTTACTGTTCTGTTCTTGGTGCAGACACTCCACAGTTTAAGTTGAATCTTGGTCACAGTTTAAATTCTGAATCATTATCAGAAAATATGATCTCTGTGCAGGGGATGTGGGGGAGGGAGGAGGGAGGGGGAGGGATCTTCGCTGTGTGCCTGGTAAGTCCAGCTGGCTCCCTCCCTGTCTGTCAGTCCGGCTGCTCTGTCCGCCCCACACCAGTGGTCCCCCATTGGCTGGGGCCCGTCCTCTTCCTGGACCCTCGGAGGGACCCTGGAGCAGAGCATCACTCTGTGGTGCTCATCCTTGCTGGGTAGCGGTTACTGCCCACGGACAGGGTCCTCCTGGGCTCAGAGATGTGCTGCCTCCAGATCAGCTCTGTTCCCGGGACTGACTCTGTCACCAGGGAGGACAGGTCCCCGGTGTTTGCCGAGAGCCACATCACCTTAATTTAGATGAAGTGACTTCTCGGCTCTTTCTCGTCTCACTTTACGGTCTGTCCTCCTTTATCTCCTGGTCTTTGATAGTGTTCGTTTTCCCGAACAAACAAGAGGCCGCCTTCTCCACGCCCATGAAGATCGGACCCTAAACGCCACTTCCGGTTCCCACAAGTTGTTCTGAACAGCGATTATTCAGCTCAGCCTACACCCCACCCAAGTCTCTCCACAAGTCCCGACCTGCCCTGACTCCTTGGAGCATCTAAATGGGGCCTGATATCCCTATTACCAGGCAGCTGTTTTCTCCAGCCTCCAGTCCGTTTTGCAGGCTCATCGCCAAAGCCACCACCGAGTCAGCATCCGACAGAAAAAGTGAACTCTCGCTTCGCTGTCAAACAGCTCCTTTTGACTTTTCTACAGCTTAGAGAGGGGCCCCAACCATGCACACATCTGCTGCGTTGTGTAAAAATGGCTTTGCGCAATCATCCCGAGACACGTTTCTATGAGCTTCCCGAGGTCTAGCAGGATGGACTTGCGCTCTGGTCACGTAAAGCAGGAATTACTGAGGACACACGTTTCCGCCAGGGAGAGGAGAGTTCATCCCGAAGTTCCGACCTGGATTTGAGAGCCCTTCGGGCCGGAGGCCCCGAGTCCCGTATTGTGGTGTGATCTTGGCGCCGATGGAACAGAGGAGAAAGGCAACATCACCTGGGGTGGACCGGTTCAAAGACGGGCAAGAATACATCAGATTCTGAGTAACCGGCAGCCATGGGGGGGCCAAAGGGCCGGGGAGGGGAGGCATGAAGGTGCAGCTTCAGCTTTCTGAGATCCCTTAAAAAATGGGTGGCCCCATGGAGTGAGAAACCCGAGAGAAGGGGTGTCAGCGATGTGGGCCTGGGTCCTCAGACTCTGGCTGGAGCCACTGAGCCCTGGTGGTCTTACAGTTTTCATGAGAGAACATCTCCGCTGAGCAACGGCCCCGCACCCCCATGCTGAGACAGGGCATGAGGGGCCTGGCCCGGCCCCCACCACCGTACCCACAGGTACCTCTGTGTTCTGGAGCTCCCATAGAATGCGTCTGTTGCAGCCTGTGCTGCCAGAATAACCGGCACCGCTGGCCCCTACTGGTCCGCAGAAGCCATTGGTGGAGTGGAGAAGTGAACACGCGTCCCCCGAGGCCAAACGGGGAGGACAGGCCTCTCCCTCCATTGCCGACCCTCCGGGGTCCCTAGCAGGCCTCCTCTGCTCTCTCCTTGGCCAGAGATGGGTCCGGAGAGGCAGGATGTCTCCCCTGTGGCATGGTAGTGGCCTTGCCCGAAGGGCAGAGGACGACCTTCCTGACTCTCATCTGTCACGTGAGCTGCCAGAGGATCAGTGATATGTGGGTAAATGTACATGTCCCCTGGGGGGCTGTCACAGAGCCCCCCACACTCGGGGCCTGAGACCACAGAGATGTGTCCGGGCACAGGTCTGTAGGCCAGAAGTCGAAGGCCTGGCATCGGCAGGGCGGCTGTCCCTCTGAGGGCCCCCGGGAGGGTCTCTGCCAGCCTCTCTCTGGTGCTGCTGCATCTGTCCCGTTTGCTGGCCAGCAGACACACCGAGCCACTCGCCGCCTCTGGCATCACACGGTCTTCCCTTCATACACGGACACCAGTCACGTTGCATGGAGGGTCCACCCTGCTCCAGCAGAGCTGACTGGCTTCTTATTGCATCTGCAAGGACCTTGGTTTGAAATCAGGCCTCATGCACAGGTAGTTAGGGGCAGGACCCGAACACACCTTTCCAGGGGACCTTAAGTCAACCCGTACTGGTGGGTCCCTCAGTGTGGTTCCAGCACAGAGTAGGTTTTCTCTAAATGATCACCGTCCTTCCAGACCCAGGGCAGGGGACCCCCTCTTCCTGACCCACCTGAGCAGAGGGGGGTCTCCCCTGGGGGCTGCTAGCCTCATCTGTGGTATGTACTGCCGACCAGGATCATGGACCATTCATTGTCACGTCTGCCTCTAAAGTGAGGCCAGGTTGTCTTCAAGGTCACGGCTGCTGGAAGCCTGTTCCCTTTCACAGACACCTCACAGCCTCACACACTGAACTCTGAATGCACAGCTCCAACCTGATGCTGTGTCCAGCGCCGCAGACCTGAGATGCTCAAGAAACACGTGATTAAAGGAAGGAAGACGTGATTAAGGAGATGATGGGTTTCCAGGCAGGAACACAGCCAACGCTGTCTGCTCTTCGGATGTTCGGCTTCCACCCCAGGCCCAGCCCCCACTATTTCCTAAGGATGGAAACACATTTCTATATTTAAAATTGTTTTAATCTTTAAAATTTTAGTTTTCAATTATAGTCGATATATGATACCATATTAGTTTCAGGTGTACAACACAGACACATTTATATAACTTACAAAGTGATTACCCCAAGGATCCTTGAGCCCATCTGACACTGGACACAGTTGTCAGTGTTCCCGACTGTGTTTCCGCGCTGCACTTTACGTCCTTGTGACTATTACTGTAACCGGCGATTTGTGGTTCCTAACACCGTTCACCTGCTTTGCCCAGCCCTCCACTCCTCTCCCCTCTGGCGACCATCAGTTTGTTCTCTGTGTCTATGAGTTTGTTTCCGTTGTATTTGTTTACTTAATTTTGTTCATTAGATTCCACATATAAATGAACTCATAAAGCATTTTTCCTCCTCTGTCTGACTTATTGCACTTGGTGTAGTACCGCCTGGGTCTGTCCGTGCCGTCACGAATGCCAGGAGTGCACCAGGGTGTCACTGACAATGGCCAGGCTACGGCAGCATTGCAGGCGCCCAGCGGCGGGCGAGAGGGGAGAGCAGGTGCGGCGCGCGCATGCTCGGAACTCAGCCAGTCCTGCTCCGCTTTCCCAGGAGGCTCCGCGCGGCGGCCTTCTCCCTATCGGAAGAGGAGCTGCTCCAGATGAGGCAGGACCTGCACAGCTGCTCCGCTCAGATGGACAGGAGCCTGGCCCTCCCCAGAATCCGGGCCCGCGTGCTGCTGCAGCGGCTGCAGACGGCGTGGCGGGAAGCGGAGTTCCTGAAGCTGGACCAGGCCCTGGCTGCCCCCGAGCTGCAGGTAGGGTGGACGGCTCGGCGGCCTCTTGATTGCTCCAGGGGTGGGGAGGGGAGGAGACGCCAGCCTCCTCCTCACTGGGGAGGGCCAGCCTGCCGAGTGTGTGCTCAGCAGCGTGGGCGTGTGCTGTCCTGTGCCGTGCGGTCGTGTCCTGTTAGGTTAGGTCAGGTTATCTTCTGTTGTGGTATATCAGGCTGTTACATTATATCCCGTCGTGTTACATGGTGGTGTCCTGTGATGTGCCACGCTGTGTTACATTCTGCCCTTGTGTCTGTTCTGTGGTGTTGTGTTCTGGCAGCCATCCGATGAGGCAGATCCCCATTTTATAGGAGTGCAAACCGAGGCTCAGAGATGGTCACGTTGGCCACATCGTTCATTAACAGTTTGCCAGGCACCCGTGACCTCACCTTCATCCATGACAGCCCCAAGCTGCAGGGCCTGGAACCCGCTACTTCCAGATTTTCACATGCCCGAAACCGTCTTGTCACGGGGGTCCCAGCTGCTGTGTCACCCCCTGACCTTTGGGGAGAGGCAGACGTTTGCGCAGGCTGTGTGCACGCTGTTCTGGGAGGGTCCCTGCTCCACTCCGTGCGCATGGCGCCTCCTCCGGCTGTCGGGTACAACTCTGCACAGCGGCCATTCACTTCTGTAGATGCTTCCCTGTCCACTCAACACCAAGTGATCTGCAGCCACTGTCACCGTGTCCCATCTGTCATTGCCCTCATGGGCCACATGAGGGTGTCTTAGTAACTGGTTTTCGTGTTTACCAGTGGTTCTCTCCAGACTCTGCGAGTGTCGTGAGGAGGGGCCCCTTCCCTGTGTTCCCAGCCCCCTGAGGCTGACGGGAGGGGTCCCTGGTAGGCAGGTCCCTGTCTGTCTCAGTGCAGAGCTCTGGCTTCGCCCAGCAGAGGCCCTGGCCTCACGTGGGCTAGAGGGGCCCACAGAGACGGTGACGACGAAGGCCCAGGAGCTGAGCTTGTCTGGGAGCCAGAGCCTCGTCCTGGGCTCTAGCCACAGGGACGCTCCTGCGGGCACAGAAGCTCCTTGGTTCTGGAGGCTGGGGTGTCAGGGACGTCTGGCAGTCGCCTCCATGCCCACATTTTCTGTCACCCCCTCCAGCAACAGTCCAGGGCAAGGAAGCCACGTGCCAAGAGTAAAAGCAAGACAGACCTTTTGAGGAAGTGCATTGAAGATAAAATTCAGCTCTTTGACGAACCGGCCCCTGAAGACCTGGTTGAAAAGGTCAGCGCTTCTCCCTTGCCTGTTGTTTTCCGTTGTGCCCAGCAGGACTGGCGGCCGCCGTTTGCGGGGTGCCCAGACCCCCAGGGCCATGGCTGTTAGTAAGCTGCATTCTAAGCTGTGGTCCTGTGGGAAGGACCTACCCTTTCCCCTCACGCCCTTCCTCCTGCCCCTTCTGTCCAGAAGCCTCTTCCTCCATATGTCCGCAGGAGGTCGTCAGGTCACCCTTAGGCCACCCCCTGCTGCCTGCGATGCCACCACCTCTGTGCCCGGCCCGAACTGAGGGTTTGCACGAGTCACTTCACTTCCGTCTCCCTCTTCATCCGGCGCACTGCTCCCCGGGGCGCCCACAGCAGCCCAGACTCCCCGGCCTGCTCACTTCCCATCCCTTTGCTAGTTATGCCTCCCGTTCTGGCACCAGGCATGGCGACTACCAGGTGCTCCACAGCCCAGTTCGTCCCTCTCCCGGGGGAGTCACCTCGCTCCCTTTCTTTACCTGGATGAGCAAACTTGGTCCTTCTCTGTCCTCAGGTGTCGCCTCTTTGAAGCAGCCTTATCAGAACAGCCAGTTCTTTCCACGCATCCGCCTGTCCTTCACCCCATCTCACCACAGCACACATTGTACTGTCCCTTTGTCCGGTGGGGGTTTGAGGAGGCCCTGGGCCCTGGCGCCATGCCGATGGCTCTGGCTGTGGCATAACGGAGGCAGGGCCGCTCTCTGCTCTTGCGGCACACATTCTGGTGGGGGGGGGGGCGCGGGAAGATGGGAGTCCCTGGTGTGCGGTGCCGGTGGCAGGACCAACCAGACCGGTCCAGGTGTCCCCTCCCTGGGAGCAGGGTGGGGAAGGCCTCGGAGCCCATGTTAGGGAGTCCAAACCTTCTGGGAGCCCAGAAGGATTTTGCACTGAATAGGGACAAGGTTTGATTTGCCTGCAGGAGCGATAAACGTGCAATGAACTGCCGGACCCCAAAGGCCCTGGGTAGGGGGCGTTTGTGAGCAGAGGGGCCCCAATGGCCTGAAACTGCCCATTCCAGGGCTGCTGCTTTGCAAAACCTGAGACCTTCCTCCGAGTCCTGAATGAAAGGCCGCCTGGTGGAAATCAGCAGGCTGCCCTCTGTAAACTGCTGCTCTCTCTCCCCTCTGCTGACCGTGCTCTGGTTTCTGGCTCGGCCCCTCCCCAGGTCCGAGGAGAGCTGCTTCGGGAGAGGGTGCAGCAGCTGGAGGCCCAGGAGGGCCGCTTCGCGGAGTCCCTGGTCTCCCTGCAGTTCCAGAAGGCGGCCAGGGCGGCCAGGACGCTGCGGGCCTACACGGCCCTCCTGGGCCTCCAGGACCTGCTGCTGGAGGAGCTGCGTGTGTCGGAGACCCTGACGAAGGCGGCCTGCGCCCAGGTCCTGGAGTCGCACAGCCCCGTGAGTATGGGCTTGCAGCGGGAGGGCGGGGCTGCACAGTTGCTGGTGGGTTCGTCCCTGTGCCCCCTCTGGTTCTGCACCAGCCAGTGGGTGGGGCGTGGTCACCTGGCCTGTCGGTGCCTCCTGTCTGGTGAGCGCCCACTGAGGTCGCTTAGCCGGGAGCACACTGCACCCTCGAAGCCTAAGGCCGCTCTATCTCTTTGTGCCCAAAAAGCGTCCTTTTCATGGTGACATTTTTTACATCTCTGATGTGACTTGTGCGCCTTGTGGCAACAGCAGGACTGTTTCTTTCCGGATGCTGTGACAGTGACAGTGTGCCTTTCGGTGGCTGGCCCGTTAGATGCCATGAAGTACCAGAGTAACGCTGACTTCTGTAATTCTGATTGTCTTTGTTAGTCCTATGCGCCGCGTGTCTTCGAAGCATGGGAGGCGGAGCCATAAAATAAGAGCTCTGGAAGCAAGTATGGATGCAGCAGAGTTTTTAAAAAATAAGAAAATTCAATGAACAGTGTGAAAACCGAAATGAAATGGGAAGTCTTCTAGAAAAATACAGATTGCCAAAATTGGATCAAGTCGATCCAGTTGGAAAAGTCTGCATAGTTCTATTGCTATGATTCAATAATTAAAAAAAAAAAAAAACAACTTAGAACACACACACACAAAAAGTCACCTAACCCCAACGTGTCGAGGTGAGCTTCACCTGACTTCAAGGTAGCAGATTTCCCTAGTCTCATATACAAATGATCCCTGATGTTAGAAAAACAGGGGATAAGCCTTAACTCATGTTATGAAGCTTGAATAACCTTGAGATGACCTTGACACCAACAGCAGACATGAATAGTGTGAGAAAGAGCAGTTACAGTTCAGTCTGGCTTGTAGACACTCGCATACAACTCATAAACAAAATATTATTGACACAGTCCAGCCACCTATAAAAACATGACTATGGCAGGGCCAGGTTGAGCTTTTCCCAGGAACACGAGGCTGGTTTAACACTGAAGCCTTCCTGTGCAAAATCTGCCAGCTACCAGACTACAAGAGGAAAGCCAACTCTCGCACAGTCATTTCAGTTTAAGCAGAACAAGGCTTTCACGGACTCCCCGGGCACCCAAGGCAAAGGTAATGTGAGGAGGAAAACCGTACAAAGCGCTCACCCAGACCCACAGCCAGTGCCCCCTGCAAGGAGGGTGGCATGGAGGGGTACCGTGTCCTGGAGGTCATCAGGGGAGGGCAGGTCCGAGGTCACGTGTCAGGTCAGGGACAAAGGAAGACACCTGTTTCTGCTCACAGTTCCGGTCCTCTTTGTAAGTGCAAGAGAAGCAGCCTCAGTTAAGCCCCGAACCACCCAGGAGCTCTTCTTACTGGAAACCCCCCGGCGTCTGTTAGGGACCAGGGAGCACACCACATACTGTTTCGGTTCCATCGGGAAGCCTTCTGGATGATGGGTGTGCACCAAAGCGACCTCATTCCCTGGTGTGTCTAGACCAGGAGCGTTGGTGTGTCCTGGATCAGAAGCCTCTGGTAACCCGCCCGGTGGTGTTGGATTGCATCGGCGGCACAGCCACGGGCAGGGTGCCTCACCCCTGCGCCCCCCGCCCCGATCTGCATTTGGAAAGAAGGCAGACCCATGGTTCTGCTGCAGATAGTGGGTGTCCACTCTGTGAAAGCTGCTTTCCCGTCCGGAATGGGCTCTGAGGGCTGTTAAATGTTCAAGAGAATTAGAAAGGCATGAAATGAAAGGCTTTGGAAGGAATGACTCCCCAAGAAAACTATCAAGCGAATCTCTGAGTTAGTGACTCTGAGTTAGTCTGGTTTTGTGCAGTCGGAACATGCACGAGGGCCTCGGTGAGTCCAGGCCGTGATGGGCCAGTTTAAATGGGACGGACTTACTTGGGATGGACAGCGTGACCCCGAAGCGGTCTCTCCGCCACATTTGCCCTCCGGTCCAAATGGCCGGCTGCCCACCTCCCCAAGTCTGAACCGGGGCCTCCCTGTCTTTGCCCCTGACTTCCTGCCCACTTGGCTGCGAGTCACCATGTCTGTGGATTCTACCTGAATTGCCTCAATGTTTTTTCTTGTTGCCCAGCTTCACGGTTCTGACGAATCTAGACCAGAAAAGAAAATACTGGTAGCAGCTCATGTGACGAGCTCTCGTGAAATCCAAGGCATCCAGTGAAGTGTTTAAATTGTCCTATCTCCCCATGAGATTTTATATATATATGTGTGTATATATATATATATATATACACACATATACATATACATATACATATACATATATATATACACACACACACACATATATATGCCAAAATAATTTTAGGACTATATAAATGTAACTACTCCTTAACTGTTAAGGAGTTGAAATTACATTCCGCCCTTCGAAGGCAACTGTGAAGCTGATGTGGCCCCCAGTGAAAATGAGTCCGACACCCCGAATGCAGGTGAAGCACATGGAGGCGTACCCGGCCCTCTGAGTGCCGTGGTGTTACCCACAGCTGCTGTGCTCTGGCGCCGCAGCGACCCTCTGTCAGTGACAGATGTCAGCTACCAGGCCCGGGGCCAAGTGCTGCAGCCAGGGCGGTGGAGACCCAGCCCGGCCCTGGAGGAGCTCGCGTTCCAACAGAAAGGCCCCGGGCGGTGATTTCAGGAGGTGATTTCGGGCAACTGCAGAAAGGGGGCCTGGGCTTGGTCAGCTCTGGCCACTCGGACAAAGGACCGGAGACTTGCGGCTTCAACAGCTGATGTGTATTTGCTTGCAGTTCTGGAGTCTGGAAGTCCACGGTCAAGGTGGCAGCAGGTCCCATCTCTGGGGAGGGGCCCTCTTCCTGGGGTGCAGACAGCTGCCTTCTTGTTATGCCCCCCATGGCAAAGAGGGGGCTCTGGCCTCAGCCTCTTCTGATATAGTCAGTGACCCCCTTGTAGGGGACCCACCACCGTGAGTGACTCCTGAAGGCCCCACCTCCAAGTCCTGTCCCATCTCAGGGTCAGGGCTTCAATGCGTGGGTCTGGAGGGGACCCAGGCATTCATCCGGACAGGCCTGTACGTGGGCTGTGAGTAGGCACACTGGGGAGAAGGGGTCTGTGTCTCGAGCCCTGAGGGGGCCCTTCCCTGCGGAGGCCAAGGCTGGAAGGAAGACTCAGAATGGGCCAGACGAGCAGGGGCAGGTCCCGCAGGTGGAGGGGGTCGTGTGTGCCGAGGCCTGGGGGTGTGAGATCGTGGTGCAGCCACGCCTCACTGTTTGCCAAGGCTGGATTGGTGGGGGGGGGGGGGCGGCGGCAGCAGGTGGAGCCAGGCTTCTGGGGCCACACCGAGCAGGTCGGCTATTCCTGTGCCCACCTGCCCCGTGCTTACCACTTGCCCCTCTGTGCAGGGGCTCCAGGAGCTGGAGAGGAAGCTGGAGGACCAGCTGGCCCAGCAGGAGGCGGCCCAGCTGCAGCGGGCCCTGGCCAGTTGGCAGCAGTGGGCAGGGGATGGGCCCGGGCTTCTGAACGAGTCTGAGGACACGGGTTCTGAAAGGCAGGTGTCCGCTGTCTTGCGCCAAGCTCTGAGCAAGAGCCAGGAGTTACTGGAGTACCAGCAGCAGAGGTGAGCCGGCCGATGGCACTGCGGTGCCGTGCCTGTGGTGGCAGAGGGGTGGGGGGTGGACACCCGGCCCCCGCCACCCCAGCCCTCAGACGGGGCTGCTGCCTGGGCAGCGCACTTCTGCCCTGACGTCTTCCCAGACTTCATTTGTTTTCTTTCTAATACCACGAGGGTTTGCTGAACACAATGTGTCTACTCTTTACTTTGAAATCATCACAGACTCGCAAGGTCGTGCCAAGGTTACACGCACCCTCCCCTGGGGCAGCCCCGCCCGTCGTGCACACTGGGCATTGGCCCCGACATGGGCACGTGGCAGGGACTACAGGCCTCTTGGCCTCACTCGTCATGTCACATTTTAGATCTGCTTTTGTAAAATGTGAAACAGCCAGAACCCCGATTTTTACTTTTTCAATTAACATTAGACGATTAGCTTCTAATCGGGGATGCTCAGGGCCGTGGACGTGCCTGGGAGCAGCACTAAGGCTGTTTAATACCCTGCTGCCCTCTGTGCCCTGTGGAGGGCGTTGCTGGCAGTCACGCTTCCGTGCAGGGTGCCTGCAGAGGGCTGGGTGGCAGGAACCAGCGAGGGTGCAGGGCGGGTCACCCGTGGTGCCGCCCCGAATGGGCCAAGGGGTCAGATAGGCAGAGGCCCTCGTGTGCAAGGCGGGAAGGCCTACGGACAACCTCCTGTGGAAAGGTGCCCCCCCGCCCCTGGGGCCCGAGCCAGGGACACCCTTGGACGATGGCCCTGGGCCTGCTGCAACCCCAGGGCACAGAATGGGCGGGCCCCCGGAGCCTGGTCTCCGTGAGCGTGGCCTTGGCAGCCGGTACCGGGCATTTTCTGAGCAGGGCCACCGATCGCCCTTTAGAGCCGCCACCACGCGGCCCCCACGCCTGCCCAGAGCTGCCTGCTCCGAGGGGCCCTCCGTCCCGCTGGGCCGTCCCTGACGTCCCCGACACACTCCTGCAAAGCAGTCTGGGCCCTGACCTCCTCTGGCCAGCCCTTTCCGTGGATGTAATCAAACGCAATGCAGAGTAGATTGGGATTCTCTGCTGTTTGAAATGCCTCGATGATCCCATCACCTCGCTTTCTAACAAAACGGCTCGCGCTGATTGCATTCCACCGTAGTCTACAAGAGGAGCGAGAGGACAGTGTCGTGTTGGAAGACTTGCTGGAGACGATGGAGACGGACACCTTCGTGACCCTGTATGGCCAGGTGAGGGCACGGCCTCCTGGGAGGGCAGAGCCCACTCTCTCTCTCTCTTAACCTTTTACTTTGAAATAATTCAAGATTTGTAGGTGGTTGCCACGGTCACGCAGAGAGTCCCAGTGCCCCACCCCTGTTTCATTCAGTTTCGCTGTGGCCGCACCTTCCGAAACCCAAGCCCCTAGCAAAGCCAGGACATTGACCTTGCTATCAAATCCACGCCATTTTGTCTGGGCAGACGCCTGTAGCCGACACTGCCGGGAAGACAGAACCATTCCGTGAGCACACAGATGTGCCCTGTGCCATCCCGGGTGTTCACCCCTGTCCCTGCGCCCTGGTGGCCACTACTCTCTCCTCCTTCTCTACACTGGGTCATTCCTGGTGTGTCACACACATGTAGTCTCACAGGAGGGGACCCGTGGAGACTGGCTTTTTCCAGGCAGCTCAGTGTCCCCAGATCTACCCAGTCCCTTCTTACTGCCGAGCACTGCTCCGTGGGGTGGCCGTGGCACAGTTTCTTTAACTGCCCAATGGTTTGGGGACATTTTCATTGTTCCCAGAGCCTGTGCTGTCCCCACCCCAGAGTTCCGTTGCCCCTTGGAACGAGAAGGAGCATTACTCATTGCTGCTGCTATAGGCCAGGACATTAGCCGTGGCAAGTGAGTGGGAGTTGTCGGAAGGGGCGGGCAAAGGCTTTGGAAATGTCACGGGAAACAAGGCTGCTGGCCAAACAGATTTTTTTGACAGCTCTGCCAATGTGGGGCCGTGTTTCTGAGACTAAGCTACTGAAATGTTTATTTCCCTGGGACAAAGTGTCCTAAGCCTGTGACCGTTAGAACTTGCTGTTTGTCGGGGCTGGAGTGCTGAGGCCTGAGCCCCTGCCTGCACCCTTAGGAGCTGAGGCTGGCCTCCTACCTGTCCAAGCTGACCATGGTGCCGGCGGGCACACTGCGCCGCCTCCTGAGCGTGGCTCTGCCCACAGCCTCGCAGCCCGAGCTGCTGGCCGTGCTCGAGTCGGTCAGCCAGAAGCAGCCGGACCACGCAGTGGAGAAGGACAGCAGTGGGGAGCCGGCTGACCCGGGCAGGAGGGGGTGAGTCGGTGTCCGCCGCCCCTGGGAAACAGTGAGCGGGACTCCAGGGAGAGAACAGGTGGAGGGAGGGGCGTGGGGTCCCCACAGCACACGCATCCCGAGTCGCCATGCCATTGCCTGAGCAGCAGAGGCGCCAGAATTCTCCATGCATCTTTTCAAGGCCCCGGGGGACCCATGTTTTGTCAGCGTGCAAAGTCATTTTATATAATAATTGTCACACTGTTCAGACTACACTTCCTGTTACTTTATCAGCAATTTAAAATTCACACCATTCCCAGTTACTGAAACACCTCTACTGGTGTTATTTTTGACGGCTGCCTAATATTCCCCGACATGGGTGCCATGTGGCCCTCCCGCTGGACTTTCAGTGTGGGCTCCATTTTCCCGATCAGGGGCGGAGCTGCAGAGAGACTTTCTTTCGGGACCTGGCTCCAGGTGCGAGCCAGGTTGGCGACGGCTCTATAAGAAGAGGCAGGAAGTGGGGGTGTGGGAGCAGCCAGCAGTGCCACCTGAGGATGGAGTCTGTGGGGGTGGGGTGCGTGGACAGCCACAGCCAGGCCTGGAAGTGCAGCACACCAGGCAGTGAGGGCCGAGTCCCCACCAGATTCCTGGGAGGCCGCGGTGGGGTCTGGGAGCCGTGAGTCTGGCAGAATGGCACGATTGCCTGGGTAAGTGTGTGTGTATGTTAGTGCTCCTGCAAAAAGGGGCAGTGTCTTTTCATCAGGGTTGTGAAGTGTCCCTGGCTCAGAGGGAGGAAGCCCAGCTGAGGGTAGAGTAGGGCCGTGGCTGGAGGAAGCATGGGAGCATGGGGACACCAGCTGTGGGCAGGGCTGGTCATCCACAGGGGCTGGGAAGAGGCTTCTAGCCCTGGTGAGGCCAGCACAGTCAGGGGGCTGGGTGTGGTCAGAGAGCAAGGTATAAGGTAGTTAGAGAGCAGCGTGTCACTGCTTGGTTTCTCCCAGTGCACAACCAGGTAGGGACCTGCAAATGTCAGGTATTGGAAGTGACTCTGGAGCAGCAACCTGCGCGGTCCCAGGGAATCTACTTCTGCCCGGGGGGCCATCCCCAAGGACCTTATTTATGGGGCCGCCCCTTTGGCCAGTGCCGGTGGGGGGGCTGGTGAGCAGGTGCAGTCAGGCTGATGGGGGACCTGCCAAGAGCACCCAGGGTGGATGTCAGCAGGAGTGTGGATCCGACCAGGCCTTTTTTGCCTGGCCCCCTGGCTTACGTGTCGCTGTCTGTGAGGGCAGGCAGACACTACTCTGTGTCCCAAGAGTCTTATCACATCATTTTGGAGTTTGGGTTCCAAGCCACAGAAACTGACGGGCTCATCTAAGCAAGAGAAGGTATGTGAGGGAGGGACCTGTCGGGACGGGCAGGACCGGGGGCGTCCACGGGGCGTGCTCTCTGGGACGCTGCCCTCAGAGGGCCAGCCTTCCCCACCCAAGACAGACTCCTGGAGCAGGCGGCCCGGCCCGGCCCGGCCCTGGAGGGACCATGTCCCCCGGTGGCTGGGCAGGGCGAACCAGCCGACACAGGGGCTGAGCTTGGCCAGAGCTGGGCACAGACAGTACTGTGGGGCCCACTCCACCCTTTAGGGACTTGACTTGAACTTGAGGTCCACGAATATCAGCTCACGGAGCCCATTGCCTCGTGAGGGCTCCGTGTGCTCCTGTTGCCAGGACGCCAAGACTCACCTCTCAGCAGCCCTTCTTGCCTGACGGATGCCACTTGTCCCCAGCTGTGGGACCCCTCAAGGGCAGAGATTGTGTCTGGGCCAAGCCAGAGAAGGTTCTTGATGAATGTGCTTTAAGTGGGGAAGAGAAGAAACCGTGAAAACTCCCAGTTTTTCACGTCAGGACGGGGCCTGCGGCTGTTTAGGATGGTGGCTTCCCTGAAGACTGTCTTTGAAACTGTGAGACACTCCCTTCTTGCCCTCAGGAAACACCAGGGCTGGTGGCGAGACTTAGAGAGCAAACTGCGCAAAGAGCTCGTAAGCAACGGGTCGGAAAAGATGCGGTGGGCCCGCCAGAGGAAGGAGCGGTAAGGAGGGGCACCTGCTCAGGTGGGCTGCAGAGGAGTCAGCCAGGCTGCCTGCGAGCTGGGATGGGAGGGGCAGGGGACCCAGAAGGGGACCATGCCTTCTTGAAGACGGTAGTCTGTCTTCCAGGTGGGCCTACTTCAGGACTGAGGACAAGCCCCAGCTCTCAGTGGGAGAACATTTGCTCGTTGTTTATCAGCATGTGAATTACTGCACTCATTCTCAACAGTGGACCTTTTTCAATGGGACCATTGAAAAAGTGTAATTCCCCGAGGCTGTTCTGGCGGTGCGGTTGGCCATGCCCGTCCAGTTGCATGGGGCCAGAAGTGGGGATGACAGTCTGGAACGCAGGGAGGCCAGGGGAAGGGCCCGGGTCTGCAGCTGCGAACAGTGGCCCTGGGACTGGACATCTAATGGGCCCCTTCGTTCCCTGCACTTCCGGGCCAGGGCTTCCTTCTCTCCCGAGTGTCTTTCTCCTTTAACCGTGGCAGCTGCACACCCAGTGAGAGGAGGAGAGCCGGGCAGGGGGTTGTGGGCTGCCGCAAACCGCTTACCACTGTCTCCAGCCATGCCCCTGGCAGGAGACTCGGAGCAAGGGTGACATCCAGTGGGGTCACGATGGGTTAGAGTGTGATACTCAGTGTGTGCAGGGGGGACAGTTGATGTCCCCCCGGGGAAGTGTCTAACCCGAGCCCTGCCACCTGCCTGAGAGCTCAGAGCCCCGGGGAAGGTGCTGAGACTGTGCTTTTTGAGTTGTCCATGAGGGAAATCTCGGAGGCAAGGATAATAGGCTGCATTGCAGAACTCAGTCTCTGAGAGAGCAGATCAGGATATTGAGCCCAAACGAAGAAAGTGAGATGCAGACCGTTACAAATGTAACAGGCTTCCCAGAGTAACGGAAGGCAGTGCTGGCCACTACGGTGGGGGGCCAGGGCACTCCCGGGCCGCGTCTCCGAAGCGTGCCTCTCTCTCCTACTTCCAACACGTTTTGTCTGTGGCTTTGTCATCGGGTCTAGTCAGCGGCTCTCAGCATGAGGACCGCAGGCAGTGGTCCCGGGAGAGGGGCGGGGGCTCCAAGCGTAGCTCATGCCAGTTTCCGTGTGTAAACACTCCCACCGTGGCCTGTTTCAAGTGCACAGCACAGCGTGGGGACAACAGCCTCGCTCACTCCTGCACGTGCCGCGGTTGTGAGCCGGGAAGAGCCGTCTGCAGCGGCCCCTGCCACAGGCCTCAGCCGATCTCAGCTGCCATCTGGGGACCAACAAGAAAAGCTTTCTTTAAAATGGTTCTTGATTGGGGACCCAGGGACCAAAAGGGGTCCTCCTGGGGAACTCTGGCAGGACACTCAGGAGGGTCAGATGCCACAAATGTCCGTGCGACATTGTTTATTTTTATTATCATTATTTTTTAGCATATTGAAGAAGACAGTTCCCCCTCTCCGAGAGAGGGTGATGTTCTCCGGAAAAGCGAGCTGGCCACACCTGTCCCGGGAGCCCAGCGGCGAGCTGGAGCCCGTGCCCCTTGTCGGGGCAGGAGCCGTGGATCTGTTCCACACAGGCGAGAAGCTCTTTGTGTTCAGAAACCCGCAGGGTCCGGAGATCTCGCTGCGCATCCCTCCCAGGAAGAAGAGGAGCTTTCTGAACGCCAAGAAGGCGGCCTGGACCTCGGGCGCGGACTAGCCGCGGGAAAGCGCCACGGCGTCTCCGAGGCTTGTCTTCTCGTGCCTTCCTGTGTTTGTGTTTGTGGTGCACAAGCTGAAGATGTGTCGCCCGTGGAAGACACAGACCCCCCAACAAGCCCACTCCCCGACTTCCAAGGATCTAGTTTACTCCATTTGCATGAATTCCCAGATGGTCCACTCTGGTCGGCTTTACAAGCGACGTGACGAGACACAGGGCCAGTGCGATCACTGGGTCCCACCTCGTGGGGGGCTGCAGGGGACCCAGTGCCCGATTCGAGTCCCCGAGACATCTGGTTGCATTACGGGCCGTGTGTCGAAGGCTCACTCTTCTTACGTGCTGTGCTCGTTACATACTCTGTTTTTATCGAGGAGCTTTAAAGAAATAAATATACTTTACATAGAGCTCTTATGGTGGAACTCACTCTTCTCTCTGTGGGGGCAGCTGCTGTTCAGTGTGGTTCCTGTGTCACCACACTCGGGGTGCTCACCAGAGGTTCGCCCTGTCTCATTCTGAGGCCGGAATATGCCTCTGATTCAAACCGGAGTTACTTGTCCGTCTTCACAAATGAGGGAATTCAATGGCCTAGGAAGGCGAGTGGGGGTGTGCGCGATCATGAGGCTAGTAGGTAGCAAAGTCAGGATTCGAACTGTGCCACCCCCTGCCCTTGTCCCTTCTGCACTGGGTCCCCGGACACACAGAGGCCCTTGCTTGTTTGCTGGTGATGGCACACAGGTCCCCTCCTCCCCCAGAGTGCCTCCGTAGGCCCTGACCTCTCCATCCCCTCAGCAGAGACTGAGGCTGTGAGGTCTCCCGGTGCTGGAGCAGATCGCTGTGTGAGCTTCTCTGGGGGCCGCTCAGGGGCCACTGCGGCCGGGCTTCGTTGTGGGTGGGAGATGACTGGGAAGGGACCCGCCAGCGTTGGGGAGAAGAAGGCTCCCGATGAAGCACCTGCTCCATGCAGGCTGCTGCGAGACCCTTCCAGCGACTTTCACCCACGTCCCGGTCCCCATAGGCCCCCGAGCAGAAAGGGTGGTGCCACGCCACAGCACAGCCAGGAGGCTGAGACTCGGAGGGGAGGGACTTGCCTGTGATCACACCACCTGGAGTGGGGAATCCTGGGTTTGAGCCCAGGTCTCCCAGCTTTCGATCCCTTATCTGCCACAGGATGCCCCATGACCTTTGGCAATGTGAAGGCCAAGCCGTATTTGCAGTTCCCATCAGTGTGCGTGCTGCGTGGCAGACAGGGACCTTGGCAGCACCCCTGACCTGACATTGTTGAGGTACTGCCTTGCGCATCAGTAGTTCCCGATCGCTATGGCAGGGTAGGGCTCGGCTGCAAGGACAGACCACATGTTGATCCACTCACCTGTGGGTGGACGCAGGGGCTGTTCCAGGTTTTGGCGGGTACACACGAAGCTGCTGTGAACGTTGATGTACAGGTCTTTGGGTGGACGTGTGACTTCCTCTCTGAGCGAGTGGCCACATCGTAGGAGAAGTGCATGGCACACTCGGTGAGCATCTGTAAGCTGTTTTCCAAAGGGCTGGTACCAGTTGCCGTTCCTGCTGGCATTGCACTCGAATCCCATTTCCTTCCCGTCTTCTCCTGAATGAGTGCGCTCCGCCTGTTTCATTCTAGCCGTTCTAACAGGACTTCTCACGGCAGTTTTTTGTATATGTTTACTTTTCAACTGCAGTTTACATTCAATATTATTTTTATTGGTTTCAGGTGCACAGCATACTGGTTAGACAGTCATACTCTTCACAAAGCATTTGCCCTGATATTTCCAGCACCCACCTGGCACCACACGTAATTATCACAATGGGAGAAAATAAGTTAATTTCTGCCAAGATGGAGGCATAGGTGGAGACGCTGTGCCTTCTCTTGCAACCAAGTTTAGAGACAACTAAATATTAGCAACAGAAAACACAGCCAGAACACAGAAAATTGAACTTTTCGGAAGTCTGATAACAACAAATTCTTCAGCCTGACTGGTAATAGGGGCGAAACCAGCAGCTGTCGGAGCGGGGTTGCACAGAAAAACTCGGTCAGATGGACTCAGGTGCATGGAACCCAGGCACAGGGTTGGACCTAGTGAGCGACCCAGAGAGCGACTGCGGGGAAACAGCGAGGGAGCAGGTCTGTGGGTTGACTGTGGTCGCGCATTTGTGCGCGGATAGACAAGCGAGGGAGTAGGCGATTGGACTGGGACCCAGCGGGTCCCCACAGCCAGCGGCAGGGAGGGCGCCGCCATTTCCCTGCTCTGACCCCACCTCCACATACAGCGTCATAACCCAGCGACTCTGAGTGGCCTGGCGCTGGTGAACCACCTAATATTCTGCTCCTCACCCAGCGGCAAGAAACAGCAGAGGGGGCCGCCATTTCCCCGCTCTGACCACGCCCCCACATACAGCGTCATAACCCAGCGACCTGGGGCTCCGCTCCTCCCATTTAAAGGGCTCGAACAGACCAAAAATGGCTCAAGAAGATCTCAAAGCCCCAGAGCCTATAAATCTAAGCGATGAAGAAATAGCAAAACTCTCAGACGCACAGTTTAAAACACTGGTGATCAGGATCCTCACAGAACTGGTTGATTATAGCCACAAATTAGACAAACATATGAAGGTGAAACTAATTGAAATGAATGGAATTTCACAGGAAACCAATAGCGATGAAAAGGAAACTGGGACTCAATGGAGTGGACCAGAAGAAAGCAAATAATGGCCAAACAGAAAAGAGCGAAGAAGCAAGAATTCAAAAAAATGAGGAGAGGCTTAGGATCCTCCAGGACATCTTTAAACGCTCCAACATCCGAATTATAGGGGTACCTGAAGGGGGAAAGGAACAGCCACCAGTGGAAAACTTATTTGAACAAATAATAAAGGAGAATTTTCCCAATCTGGCAAAGGAAATAGACTTCCAGGAAATCCAGGAAGCTCAGAGAATCCCAAAGAAGTTGGACCCAAGAAGAAACACACCAAGGCACATCATCATTACATTAGCCAAGATTAAAATGAAGGAGAGAATCCTAGAAGCAGCAAGAGCTAAGGGGACAGTCACCTACAAAGGAGTCCCCATCAGACTGTCAGCTGATTTCTCAAAAGAGACCTTACATGCAAGAAGGGGCTGGAAAGAACTATTCCAAGTCATGAGATCCAAAGACATACAACCAAGATTGCTCTATCCAGCAAACCTTTCATTTAGAATGGAAGGACAGATAAAGTGCTTCTCAGATAAGTTCAATTTCAAGGAGTTCATCATCACCAAGCCCTTATTATATGAAATGTTAAAGGGACTTATCTAAGAAAAAGAAGTTAAAAAAACATGAACAGTGAAAGGACAGCAAACTCACAGTTATTAACAACCACACCTAAAATAAAAGCAAACTAAAAGGACAGCTAGATCAGGAGTGGAAACATAGAAATGAAGATCTCAAGGAGGGTTAGCAACAGGGGAGTGGGAGGAGGAGAAGGGGAGAGAAGGTACAGAAAATAAGTAGCATAGACAGTAGATAGAAAATTGATGGGGGGGGCAAGAATAGCATGGGAAATATAGAATCTAAAGAACTTGAGACACATGGTCATAAACTAACGGGGGGTAATGGTGGGGATGGGGGGTAGGGTGGAGGGGAATGAAGGGGGGAATAGAACAACTGTAATGGCATAATCAATAAAAAATAAATTAAAAAAATTATCACAATGGTATCGACTATACCCACTATGCGGGACTTGACATCCTGTGACTGTTCTGTACCTGCCCATTTGTATGTCTCGATCCCTTCCCCCTTTTTACCCAGTGACCCTCCCCTCTGGCAGCTGTCAGTCTGTTCTCTATATTGAAGACTCTGTTTCCATTTTATTTGTTCGCTTATTTTGTTCCTTAGATTCCCGTATGAGTGAAATCATGCAGTATTTGTGTTTCTGTGTCCGACTTCTTTCACTTGGCTTATTACCCTCTAGGTCCATCCATGCTGTGGCAGATGACACAAGACTTCATTCCTTTTTATGGCCAAGTGATATCCCATTGTGTGCATGTACTGTCCTGTCGACAGGCACTTGGGCTGCTTCCATATCCTGGCTATAGTGAGGCATGCTGTTTTGGACATTGGGGTGCATAGATTCTTTCACATCAGTGCTTTGGATTTCTCTGGGGAGACACCCAGAAGGGGAATCTTCAGGTCATAAGACGTGACCTGAAGTTCCACTTCTAATTTTTTGAAGAACCCCACACTGTTCTCTACAGTTCTCTCAGTGTGGGGTTTTAATCGGGGCTTCATGCTTCTTTTCCAACCACTTCGATTCTTTGCTGAAGCACCTGGTTATGTCTTTCTTCCATTTTTCCTTGGGCTACTTGTTTTAGTATATCAGCTTTGAGAGTTCACTGTATATTCTGGACACAAGTGCTAATCAAATATATGGTTTTCAAATATTTCCTCTCATTCTGCATTTTGTCTTTTCATTCTTTTTACAGTGCCTTTTTATGAGCAGAAGTTATGAATTTTGATGGAGTTCAATGTATCAACTTCTTTTATGGATTATGCTTTTGGTATGTAAGAAACCTTAATCCAACATTGCAGAGGTTTGGGGCCTGTGTTTTCTTCTAGAAGCACTTGTGCCTGTGCGTGTGTATACAATGTATACAATGTACATATGCAGGTAAATAAGTACATGTTCGTATAGCTTTCCATCTGTGATCCATTTTGAGTTTTTTTATATCGTTCCAGCTATGGATCAAAGTTCTTTCTTTGCATATATACTTCCAAATACTGTTACAGCATCGTTTTGAAAAAAGATTTTATTTATTTATTTTTAGAGAGAAGAGAAGGGAGAGAGAAACATCAATGTGTGGTTGCCTCTTGCGCTGGCCCCACTGGGGACCTGGCCTGCAACCCAGGCATGTGCTCTGACTGGGAATTGAACCAGGACCCTTTGGTTCATAGGCCTCGCTCAATCCACTGAGCTACACCATCCAGGGCTGCACCATCATCTTTTAAAGGATATTCTTTCTTCACTAACTTGCCTTTTTATCTTGATCAAAAATCAGTTTTCTGAGTGCACATACTAGTTGGTCATTTCTGTACTTTCTCTCCTGTCCCATTGATCTATTTGCTTATTTTGACACCAATTATAGTTTCTTGATTATTATAGCCATACTGTCTTGGATCCAGTGATGTTAGATAAATAAATTCATTGTTTTTCCACAAAGTGGTTTTGGCTATGATAGGTCCTTTGCATTTCCATACAATTTTCAGAATTACATTTCTACCAAAAGCCTGCTGGGATTTTGATTCAGATTGTGTTGGATATATAGGTCAGTTTGGGATAATCTTAACAAGATTGATTCTTCTGATGCATGAATACAGCTCTCCACTTATTTAAACTGTCTTTTTAAATTTCTGTCCAC